AGTCACGGAGCTCCCCTTCTTCCCGCCCTCACGCCAAGACCACGGGCTTTTTTAGCTGCTTCACTTTATTTGAACTTCTTTGCTGGCAAGTTTGCAACTTCCCGCCGCTGCTCGGACCCCATCCTGCCCGCTCGGCCCGCGCTGCTGTCGCTTCCTCCCAGGCCAGCCGGGGTCTGGACTTGCCCCTGAAGTTTGGGAGGGTGTTTGCTCGGTGAGGAGCCCCGGCACGTCCGGCCAGCGCCAGGCAGAGCCAGCCCCGGGGGAGGGCAGAGCAGGACGATTGGCAGGGAAAATTCAGCCCTTTGGGGTCAGCGCTGCTCCCCGACCACACCAGGGCTGTTCCTGTTTTCCTGCCTGCTTAGAGGGGAAAACCGTCGACTGCAGAGAGGATTAAAAAGAAAAGAATTAGAAGACTCTTCTTGCTGCCATTTGGATATCAGTCCATCCTAATAAATCCAGGCTTAATTTGGAATGGACAGGATTTAGCAGCTTTTTCAGGAGACAGTGGAAAAAGGGGGGAGAACGGTAGAAAAGGGGGGGCTGGGACCTCCAAACTGAGTGGGGAAGGGGCTTAGACTCTGAAACTGAGCAGGACAGAGGGGAAGAAACAGCCCCAAACCGAGCTGGGGGGGGAGCTGAGGACTGTGGGGATGATGAGAAAGGGGTGGGAGAGGGGAGAAAAGGGGTGTTGGACAGTGGGGAGGGGGACAGAGGGAGGGGGGTTCCCATATGGGTCCCCCCTGTCCCCCATCAGTTGGGCCCTGGAGCGGTTCCCTGGGGCTCTGGAAGGGGGCAGATCCGCACTGGGAATGTCCACTGCTTCTGTAACCCTTTCTGTGCTTGCTCTGGTCACGATTCTCCACGGGTCCCCAACCCTGGGGGCTGATGGGGGAACTCCTCTCACCCAGCAGCTGGTGCTGCAGCAGCTGTGGGGCAGAGGGGGGTGGGAAAGGGCTACATTTTGCAACATTGCACTCTCCCATTGGCTGCTCACCGGCACATGGTTGCTCTCTTAGCAACAGTACACGAACCCTAAAATTGCACCCATTACACTGTGCCAATTATAGAACGTCTTCCCCATAACATTTTCCCGTAACGTTTTCCCAATAGCAATTTAACATTTTCCCGTGTCAGGAACGCGTCCCATCGTCACCCCCCCAAGTGCAAAGGGCCGCCATGGCTCACTGTAAGGACTACAACTCCCGTGGTGCGTGGGAGGAGCGTGGCAGTGGGTGAGCGGGGGGCGAGACCGCACACTGATTGACTGCGGGGGTCTCTCTGGAGGTGGGGAGCGAGCAGAGCGCCATGTTGGCTGTGGGGAAGTGATGGAGGAGGCGGCGGCGGGTGCACTGCATAACTGGAGAGTGGAAAAGGCTGGAGGGGCTCTGGAGGTTTAGCGGAGGAGTTTGCGGGGTTCCCGAGGCGTGGCAGGAACGGCGCAGGAACCTCTCGGGGCTGCGGGGTGCTCGGGGCTTTTCCCCACGCCACTGGCTGCAACTGCGCAGGCGCGCGCCAGTGAGAGATTCATAAAGGAAAATACTAACTCCCAAGAGGCCCCCGCGCCACGTGCTGGACCCCCCATTTCTTTCGGGCACAATGCGACCTGCCGGCCCGGCGGACACGACCACCAGGGAAAGGGGATTCCTGCTGCCGCCCCTGAACCACAGAGACCGCAAAACTCAAGCAACACAGAGATCCTACAGGGAGGGCTCAGCAGTGGGGTTCATGGGGTCCCCCAGCCCCCAGGGAAGGAGTCCTGGGGGTGCCCCCCGAAGTCCGGGGGCGAGATGTACCACATCTGGGTAGGGGGATCCCAGTGCTCCCAGTATAGCCCAGTGACCTCCCAGTGACTCTCAGTACAGCCCAGTAACCCCCTCAGTGACCACCCAGTGCATCCCAGTGACCTCCCACTGCCTCCCAGTATGGCCCAATGATCCCCCAGTAAGCACCCAGTAACCCCCAGTATGGCCCAGTAACCTCCCAGTGTCCCCCCGTGTGTCCTGGTAATCCCCCAGGAACTCCTCAGTCATCTGCCAGTGTCCCCCAGTGTGCACCAGTTCCCCCCCAATCCTTCCCAGTCCCTCACAGTGCCCCCTGGTTCCCCCCAGTCTGTCCCAGTATCCTCCAGTAATCACCCAGTGCCCTGCAAAGCCCCCCAACTGTCCCCAATGTGTCCCCAGATGCCCTTGGCCTTTCTGTGAGCATGGGGGGAAGGAGGGGTGTTTTTGGGGTCACAGGGTGTAGAGGGGCTCCTGGGGTGAGATGGAGGTTTGGGGACATCAGGGATGGGGTTTGGGGACAGTGGGGAGAGGTTTGGAGCAGTGGTGTTGAGGGAATTGGGGCCATGGGGAGGCCCTGGGGACATTGGAGACACTAGGAGGGTCTTGGGGTGTCAAGGGGGGGGTTGGGGACACCAGGGAGGTCTCAGGACTCGCTCATGGTGCTGCCCCTCCTCTCCCCCCCCAGCCCCATTAACCCCCCCTTCCCCAGGTGGTTCCTTTGCCCATGGGCAGCAAAGCCCCCACTGCTTCTGCAACTGGAGAGTGTTGGAACCGTGGACCATTAACATTCCAGTCTCTCCCAGCTCTGCATCTCAAAAGTCAAGAGGGATCAGTCTGTCACCTCAAAGTGAATCAATGCCATTGAAAATGGCTCGATCCCATTCCAAAACCTCTGTGTTTCTTATTTTCCCTATGTAATTCTGGGGCAGCTGGTGCCACCCCTCAGCTCTCAGCAGGCTGAGGCTTGGCCTTGCACTTTTGCCTTTGCTGGATTTCTTCATCAAATATTTCTCTCTCCCTGAAAAGAAACATATGGAAGGTTTTTGATAATCTGGACATCTTTAGACCATCTGGATAAATGACATTTTGCAGTGTTCAAACAGCTAAGCCAGAACGTTTTCCGTGTTTAATCATTTGTTCCCATCCCTCCCAGGAGGGAGGACACTGAACTCTTCCACAGAAACAGAAAACTAGTAACAAAAATTCAGAGACTAGAAAATGAAAAATACCTTTTGCTTACAGGTGGCCCTTTCATGTCCTTCTCTTCTGCCTTCCTGCAATTGATGTTATCCATGACAGCAGTTGCCTAGATGATGACCCAAAAAAGCATTTAATTCACTTATAATCATTCCAGAAAACTGAATCACAACTGAGGTGTGTGTAGTCGGTTGTAGTTGGCTTCCTGCCAAACCCCACAGACTACAGCAAAAACCTTCCAAAGGAAAAAAAACAGAATAGCAAAAGCTATAGTAAAAATATATATATATTTTACATATACTAGAGATACATACAATTAAAATACTATGTACATATAACACGCAACCCCCAAACAATCCCGAAAGGGAAAAGGATAGGGAAAAGGAAAGGGAAAAGGGAAAAAAGGGACAAAAAGGAAATAAACCAAACCAAAACAACAGAAACCCAATGCAGGTATGCACAATTACAATCAGTAAAGAACTAGCAAAAGAATATCCTCCTACTCTCCTTGGGACAGCAGAATCGCGCTGAACGACCACCAGCACCCTCTGCCTCCCAAGGTCTACAAGGCCTCACTAGGCCTCACTCCCCCACACAGCAGAACCGATAGCAGGGAACCTGTGCCTTCAGAACCACTGGAAGGGAAGAGAGCGAAGGCTTCTCTTCCCTTCTTGTTTATACCCTGGCTTACGTAAAAATCGTTGGGAATACTGGGAACATGGCCACTTCCTTGGTTACAAACTGGTCACTGAGGAAAGGCCTAGACTAAAACTACCAGAGTGTGGGAGACCAAACAGGTGTTCAGGCTAGAGAGCCAGAGGCAGCTCCCCAGAGA